CAAAAACCTGCAGTGTCTTGTGTCTGGACCTCTAGGCCCTGTCCGGTGGGGTGAAACGACATTGAAAAATCAACCCATTATTTTTCTAGGGGCGGTCAGGACCCGATAAACGTCCTGGGCCGCCCCAATTTTTTTTTTGATTTTTGCCCCAGAGGCCGCAATCCAGACATATTGTCCAGACACCGGACACCAGACACCGGACACCGGACTGTCTGGAACCCGGTCCGGACGTCCGGGCGGTTACCATGGTTTCTTTTAAACTTTTTTATAGTTTTTGACTTCTAACTCAAGTTCGGTTTGGAATTCTGACATGACTCCGAGGCAAAAGTGGTTGGCATTGTTATTCTGCATAAAATACTTTTTTTTTCAGTTTTTTTTTTTTTTTAACAGTCCGGACATTTCCGGACCTGTCCAGGCATCCGGACCCTCCGGATCCCCCATGTCCAGAGGTCCGGAAATGTCCGGAATTCCGGACGTCCGGAAACTACCGGACACAGGTCCGGTTCCATGTCCAGAAATGTCCGGGTCCGGGTCCGGCGTAGCCATGGTATCCACCATCTAGAGATGGCCCGTTGGCTCCCCAAGCGGCATTAGCTGACACTGCTGATGCTCGTAGGTGGTGGAGAGAGAAGAGAGGCTCAGCAACTGGCAATATGCTTGCTCCTAGCAGGCATCTGGCCACTGTCGCTCACCTGGTCCCCGCGCGCCTGGTGCCGGTGCTGCTTCACTCTCTGATGTGGTGAGGGGATATAGCTGGTGGTATTCGACTGAAGGCTACATTAAACTGCCAGCACAAGCCCCCAGCCTTGCAGTCCGAAACTCGTCGCCGCAAGAAAAAGGGTCCGAAATGTCAAAAGCTGGGGTCGCCTTGATAAATTGGATTGCCGCGTTTCGCGCCTCCCGAAATCGAGATGTCAGGCCCGCCGGCTGTGTGCTTGTGCTTTAAGGCCATCCTGTAAGATTAGAGAGAGTACAACAAGCTTAAGGGCTACCCCCTTCAAAAGAAAAAAGAAAGGAAAAAAACAAAAAGGGAGACCGAAAAAGAAAGACCAAAGACGGCAAAGTGCACAAACCTTCCAGCGGACGGCAAAGTCGTGAACAAGCGGCTCCACATCAGCGATTGTTACAAGTACCGCAGACGGATTTGCAGCAGTCGATGATGTCGCCTCTTCGCCTGAGGCTGCAAAATAAGCATCGCAGGAAAACCAGCATTCGCAAAATTATAAATAACAAAATGCCACCACGCTGAGCAGCGATACACCACAACAAATACTGCATTGTGGGCCTAACTCCAGTGCACAACACAAGGCATGGATGTGGACGGTAAGACGACCAGTTACATTTGGACAAAACCAACATTCTGAATGTATCTATCGGACCATTACATAGAGTGTTGTGTAGTGGACCGAGGCCCTATGTGTTCGAAAAAGCAAAATGCAAGGAACCTGCAATCTCCGTACATCGGGACTGAAGCTTCAAAGGGTCTATCCTGGTACCAAGTAAAGTTTCAGTAGTTTAGGGTCCGATAGGCAAAATAAGTCGAACCTAGGCTAGTCCAATAGGCAGGCCCCCAGCAGGAAAGAAGCCTCCAGTCTAGTCCTGCTCAGTCCAGTTTCAGGTAAGTCAGCGACCCAGGGTCCTAGGAAAACCAGTGACCATTTTCAAAGCCAGACAGACCCAAGGCGACAGGCTACCAGGTACGGGGCCTACAAGTGAAAGGGCTGGGAAGCTGAATCGTCACATACAGAAGCACAGAAGCCATCCATTTGTGCTTGCGCAATAGTGTGCCCATGTTACGAGTGAGACAGGAATTGAGGCTGAGGTAGCTGTACTTGGCGGGCCATGGGTGAGAGAGAGAGAGAGAGTGGGGGTGGAAAGAGGGAAAGAGGGAGAGAGAGGAAAATGGCTGGATTCACCCGGTACTACCAGGTGGCTCAGAGAGGAGGAGGAAGGACCTAAGAACCTTGAGACTTCCAAACAGGGATAAAGACTAGGGCCGCCCAATCGAAATACTAAGTCCGCATAGGAGGCCACAGGACATGTTTTCGCATGGGACCTTCAGCAAGGCCTGGAAGAAGGCTGAACCGTCGAATCATGTGGATCTGACGACTAGAGTAGCAACGGATCAGGAAGAGGTAGGTGCCAAGAAAGGAAAGCAGATTTTGGCCCTTCGCCAGGGAAGTCGCCCTATCTCAGGCATATGTGCAACTACTGTGCACGCGCAAGCAAGCTGGTGGAGAAACATAGACGACATGAGTGAGCTGAGACTACTGTCAGGCAAAGTCTATGGGGACCCCCAGTCCCAAGTGTGCCACTCATAAGAGATCCAGGTCCCGTACCTACAACTCAAATCCCTTTAGCTCTCTTTCCCTGTCATGTTCTTTACCATTCTTAGAAGAGTCCAACGTCTTAACTTCACGAGCTCTGTAACAGAAGAATAGGCAAGAGCTTGTGTATTCTTCTACAAACCACTACCGTCTTCACCCGAACAGAATGCCCGGCCATTATAGCTGCATTTGGCACAACTTTTAGTCCAGATGCAGCTATAATTACCGGGCGTTTTATTCGGGTGAAGACGTAGTTCATTTCCCTGCATCAGAACAAAATACCTATTTTGTTCTGATGCAGCGGTTAGCCCGCCCTACCTTCTTCCCCCGAATACAACGTACGGTCATTTTTGCTGTATTTGAGCCATCTTTCAGTCTAGATACAGCTATAATTACCGTATGTTGTATTCGGGGGAAGAAGGTAGTGACAGGTGCTCGGCCAACCAGAGCAAATTTTTGCCTGGCAGTGGCAGACAAAAAGAAAATATTTTGCACGGAAATTCAAAATTGCGCCCGCACCGGTTCTTTTCCTTTTGGTGCGAGGCAGAATTCCGGGTTGCAATGAACAGCAAAACTGCAAACTGAGAAATACGCTGTTCTCTGAGTTTTGGCGCTTGTCTGAGTGACTTGGTGAGATTCCTGTTTTCTGCTGATGTTTCTAAGTTTGTGTGTGTGTGTGCGTGAATTGCTGAGTTTCCGTGTGTTTGCCTGTCTGCACCATTGCATGCGCGTGTGTGTGACCCGCTGGGGTACTTGTGTGTTGGGAAGGCCCACGGGCCTAGTACTTACCTCTGGCCGTGTTGTGTGCGTGGGAACAGCGCGGTAGTAGCGTAGGAAAGGCCCGCGAACGGCATGAAGGCCAAAAACAATCAAGTAGCGGGTAGGTAGGCAGAAAGCTAGTACCTTGGGAGGCCGAGGTAGAATTAACAGTCCGGTAGGCTTCGAGAAAAAGGTACTGGTCCAAGTAGCCTGAGTCTAGAGCCTGCGGGACGGGATATCAGACTGCAATGATGTTTCCCTCCGAAAGTGGGAGGTACTGGGTAGGCTTGGAGGCCGCGCGGCCTTGAAGCAACCGCTCGAGGAGGCATTTGGCCAAGTATATCAAACTGGGAGGCGAAGTGCTACACCTCATTTTTCGCTAGTGTGCAGTTTGGGAGGCACGCTGCTGGAGCGTCCGCTCAGGTGAGCAGTGCTGAGCAGAGGAGGGCGAAGGAGGCTCTGGGCTACACCTTGGCTATGGTCGAAGCGCCCAGGGAGGAGCGAGGCTAGCAGGGGGAAGGGGGAGGAGGAGGAAGATGGTGAGCAAGGAGGAGAATGACGGGGAGGCTTACCTGTCTGTGGTGGTCTGCATCATCTTCTTGGTTGGCGCTGCATCTGGAAGGGCCCAGTTGGGGTTGGCATCCACAAGGAAGACTCTGGGGCAGTACAGGGGCATTGCGGACATAATGGAGCAGCAAAGCTGGTTTGCATTGTCCTTTGAACAATGGGGTTGAACCTGATAGTCCACCATAGCCACCGGCACACATGGGAGAGGTAGAGAGAAGGTGTACAGTGGCTATGGTAGATCTAGAGTGCCTGGCAGTAAGCGGAGGATTAGGACATTGGTTCTGGCTGATTCCTTCATTTTTAGGGTTATTATTATATGTTAAGAAGTTGCCCTTCGGGAGACATCCGTTAAAATTGGAACGATACAGAGAAGATTAGCATGGCCCCTGCGCAAGGATGAGACGCATCAATCGAGAAATGGTCCAAATTTAAAACATGTATTCTACCATAACCGAAGAAAGAGCCTGCTAGTACAGGCCCGACGCTCACCGCATCATCTACAAAAGCAGAGAGCTAGCAACGTCGGAGTATATATCGTCACAAAGATATCAGAGTGCAAAAGCGAAAAAAACAAGCAAAAAAACAATTCATTTTTTATCTTCTTACTTACAACTACCCCTGTTATTGTTTCCCCCTGTTTTGTTATATTTGGCTATTCCTTTCCTCTTTCTTTGCCTCTTTGCCTTTTCGCTGTGTGCAAGTGGATCGATATGACACACGGGGGTGGTGGCAGCCGCTGCTCAACCTACATTCATGTGGGCGGCCTTGTAAGCAAGAGGTTTTGAACAGGGGGAGTTGAAAGTAAGAAGACAAAAAATGAATTGGTTTTTCCTTTTTTTTTTTCACTTTTGCGCTCTGATATCTTCGTGACGATATATAGTCCGACGTTGCTAGCTCGCTGCTTTTATAGATGATGCGGCGAGTGTCGGGCCTGTACTAGCAGGCTCCTTCTTTGGTTATGGTAGAATATGCTCTTTCTAATTCTTCTTTCCACCTCTCTTCGCTTTGGTCTTCCCCATCGTTGGGGTATTTCGTTTTGCGGACCTACTGTACGGTTCCGTCTTTTTACTATGGTTATGGCAGAATTTGTTTTGGTAATTTTGGCACCTTTGTCTGCATCCTGGTTGGTTTCGTCCCATTGTTCGGCTTACGGTAGGGTGCCCGTGGCGGTGATTTCATGTGGGACCTGTCATCCGGGGCTTTTTATCCTTTTGGCATCCTAGTTGGCTGTTTCCCGTTCTTCGGCCTTGGTGCGATGGGGCGGTGCTTTTCTGTGGGAATCGTCATCTGGGATTGCCTTTTATACATTTTTTAAAAAAATTTTGACGTTGGTGGTGTCCCAGTATTTTAGTTTAGACCAGCGAAGCATCAGAAAGATCAAACCGATCCCAGTCTTTGCACAAATAACAATCGCAAAGGAGTTTTGGAGTTGACGCAGAGTCGCTGGCGAGTACGATGGTGTGTTATCTGGGATTGTTTGTTTGCAGGCAAGGGTGTTTTGATATCCTGGCTGGTCTTGTCCCGTCGTTTTGCCTGTGACGGAGGGGACGGTGCTTGCATGTGGGACTTGTCAACTAGGATTTGTTTATGTTTGTTTCCCCCTGTTTTGTTATATTTGGCTGTTCCCGTCCTCTTTCTTTGCCTCTTTGCCTTTCGGCTGTGTGCAAGTGTGTTGATATGACACACGGGGGTGGGGCCAGCCGCCGCTCGACCTACATCCACGTGGGCGGCGTTGTACGCAAGAGGTTTTGAACAGGGGGAGTTGCAAGTAAGAAGATAAAAAATGAATTGGTTTTTTCTTGTTTTTTTTTCACTTTTGCTCTCTGATATCTTTGTGACGATAAATATCGTCAAATAGAGCTGCCTGGTAAACCGTAGGCAGGGAGGGAGAAGAGGACAACAAACGAGGGCTGTGACAAACTGTTTCATCGGAGTTTCACCAACTCGTCAAGAGGCTGAACACTATATGTATACATTGTTAAGACGTTAAGGGAGTAATTGGAGGATTGAGATGGTGGCAAGAGAGGGGGAGATTGACATTGGTCCTTGATAGTGTTCATCTTCTCTTCTTCTTCTTCCATTCTGATTTCTTCTTCTTCCTTTGTCTATTTCTCTTCCCAAGTCCTTTGGTTTCATTGCAAATGAACGGCATTGTCTTTCTTTGAGTTTTTGCACTGCAAGATAAGCAGGATCACAAGTGGTTAACAGGGAACCCCACTTTTCAGCCCCAGATTAACGCCCCCAACACTGAAAAGTGCATTTGGGGATTTGTTTTTCAGTTTTTTTTTTTTGTTGTTGCCCTGTTTTATTTTTGGTCAAGGTCTGTGTGTGCCAAGCTTGGTGTTTGTTGGGGTCTTGGAGATGACTGTTTTGGCCAGCCCTGATAATCCTTAAAATCCTTCAAAAAAAAAAAAAAAGAAAAAAAAAGAACCTTGGGTTCTGGCTCCTTTTCCATTGTGGCTAGGGAGATATCCCGGGTGCCCGGGTCCCGACGTCACGCCCGGTTTGGTGACCGGGTGACCAGCCCGGCATGACCCCTGGGCATGGGCCCATGTGGTCCCAGCACAAAAAAAAAAAAAAAAAAAAAAAAACCTCGAAAAAAATCTTAAAAAAAAAAATGTTGTGTCGAATTGCAATAAAAACAACTTTTGGCTGAGGGTCACATCAGAATTCCTCACGGAACTGAAGATTAAAAAAAAATTACCAGATCACACTAAGGCACCCCCCTTTAAACCCCTTTTAGCCCCTTTAAAATTCATTTATACTCCCCTTCCCCCCCTTGACAGCCAACTCTCAAAAAAAGAAAAGAGCCTGGATTTGGGCTCTCCTCTTGGAGAGCGCAAAAATAACCCACCGTCAAATTTTTCTATTTTTTTATTGTTTATAATTTTTTTCCCCATGCCCGGGTATCCTGGGCGTCACGCCCGGGTGACCGGCCGGTCATGAAAATCTTCCTAGATTGTGGGGAGCATCAGTCCGGTTCCTATTCCACCGGCAAGTCAGAAATGGTTACAAAGAGTACCCACGCACGCTCCTCCCCCTCATGGTGGGAAGGTCCGAGGGCCAGCCCTGAAAATCCTGAAAAACTGAAAAGAGCGAATTTTGCATGAAAACACACTTTTGCCTTGGGGTTTTACCGTTTTAGGCCTCTTTAATTCATTTTTTACTTTTTTGTTTTGCTGTTGGTTTATTTGGTGTCCACTCTATGCACTGGTGACAAGGCGTCGGATATTTGTAATTCTGAAAAAAACCTGAAAATTTAGGGCTCTGTTAACCTCTTCTCGCCGGGATCATAACCAGACCAAGAAATGGAGATTTAATGACAAACAAAATGACAGAAATAGCCCATGCTGCAACGAAAAAGGACGAGTCAGATGGAAACAGAACATTTTGGGAGCAAGACAAGACGGAAGGACTGGTGAGTGCCGCCCAACAACCCCCCCCTGAGAAAAACAAAAAAAAGGAAAAGAAAAAAGGTGGCGAGTCTGGCAACCCTCTAGCGAGCCCAACCTCCTTTAGTCTTCACAAAGTTTATCAACTTTCCAAAATGCTCTTGAAGCTCAACCTCCTGCAATCAATCAACACAAACGACACTCAATCAACTCAACACTTATAGGAACAGGCATGCAGACTCATTAGACCACCACTATGTTCCGAGGCTGTTTTTTTTTCCGACCTGAATCGTACTGCGTACCTAAAAAACAAGGAACGGGCCCGATTTTTCTCGTTTTCGCTGGCACAACCAGCCATTTTGGTCTAGCAGTCATGAAGCCTGAAAGTTGCGCTTAATAATATTTACTCAGCTCTTTGTTTTGCCTGGGACGCGACGTGATGCTTTAACAAAAAGGGTTGTTTTGCCTGGGACGCGAAGTGATGCTTTAACAAGAAGGGGAAAAAAATCGAAAAGACACAAAGCCAAGGCGACAAATTTGAAATTTGGACGAAAGGTACAAAACTGAGCAATGGAAAAAAAAGAAGATATTCCATCCTTCAGGACGTCCGTTAAGAATGGAACGATACAGCGAAGATTCGAATGGCAATTGTGCAAGGATGGCTCTTGCACGCACAATCAACTCCATTCCCGACTCCAAATGGAATGATAGTCTAATGATACTGCTTTAAGTGGCGGATCGGGACAGACAGTCGTTCACCCGCATGTCAGAGGCACCAAAAAAGTGAAGCCCCCCGATCAGGATGCAATAAATTCAGAAATCAGCTGGGTTAGGCCGACGCCCAGTCCAGACAGACCGTGCCTGACGGACCGGGCCAGACGGACGGAGGGGGGGGGTCCGTCCGGCAAAACCAGACAAGCCAAAAAACGTCCCAGGATTTTTTTATTTTTTTTTTGAAAATGGGGTTGGAATGCGCTCGCTGAGAGGAACCCGGAGGTGCTTGCAACTTTTCCTTTTCCTTTGTCTGCTGCCGTTTTGCCTCTCCCCCTTCCAGACCTGCCACTCCCCTCGCCGACGCCGCTGCCACCACCCGCCATACTGTCTTGGAAGTAGAGGATGCAAGGACCAACAGCGAGGGGAAAAAAGAAAGTACAAATATAAGAAGAAGAAGGAGAAGAAGAAGAAGAAGAATTAGAAGGAGGAGGAGGAGAAGAAGAAGAAGAAGAAGAAGAAGAAGAAGAAGAAGAAGAAGAAGAAGAAGAAGAAGAAGTCTGTGCGGTTGTGAATGGGGCTGCTGTCTGCCCGCTTACGTCCTTTTTTAGGGGCAGGAAAAAAAAAAACGAACGGGAAACAGCGGGCGGTAGGATATGGAAGGCGGTACAACATGGCTGGTGGATGTGCGAGATGGTGGGCGGTAAGATATGGAGGAGGAAAAAGACGAGGGAAGAAAAAGAAGAACGGAGGAGGAGGAGGAGGAGGGAGAAGAAGAGGAGGGAAGGAGGAGGAGAGGAGGAGGAGAAAAAAGATGGAGACTTGAAAAACGAAACAGACGAGAGGAGGAGGAGGAGGAGGAGTAGAGAAGAACAAGGAGGAGGAAGCGTACGAAGAGGAGGAGGAAGAAGAGGAAGATCAAGAAAGGAGGAAGAAGAAGATGATGAAAAGAGGAGGAGGAGGAAAGGGGCAGGAGGAGGAGAGAAGGACAAGACGAAAGGAAGAGGAGGAGGAGGAGAGAGAAAAAAGGAGGACAAGACGAAAGGAGGAGGAGGAGAGAAGAAAAAGAAGACGAGAGGAGGAGGAGGACGATAGAAGGAGAAGACGAAAGTAGGTGGAGGAGGAGGAGAGAAGAAGAAGACAAGAGGAGTAGAGAAGAAAAAGTAGATGAGAGGAGGAGGAGAAGGAGAACACGAAAGAGGAGGAGGAGGCGGAGAAGTAGAACACGAAATTGGAGGAGAAGGAGAGAAGAAGAAGACGGGGGGAGAGGGAGGAGGAGGAGGAGGACCTGCCAGATTCGGATGATTTCCTTTTTTAACTGGATTTTATTCGAAGGATGTGATCTTAGAACTTGCTTATACTAAATATACCATAAGTGGAAATTTGGCTTTTTGGCTTGGAACTCTTTCTGTATTTTTGACTTCTTATTATTCTTTTCGTTTACTTTTTCTCACTTTTCTTGCTCCAACCAATGCTTTTAAGCGAGGCATCGAAAGATGTCATGATGATCCTACTCTGATGGCAATCCCTTTAATACTTTTGGCTTTTGGAAGTCTTTTTGTAGGATATTTGGCCAAAGATATGGTGAAGACAAAAAAAAGAAGGAAAGAAAAAGGATGACGAAGGAGGTGGAGGAGGAGGAGGAGAGAGAGAGAGAGAGAGAGAGAGAGAGAGGAGGAATCCCGCTCGTCAGCACGTCAACTGGCCGTGCAGCTCGCCTATCCCGGCACGTGCCAGCTGTGAGCGTCGTGTTGCCAACACCACGTGGCACTTTGCGTACTAGAAGAAACACATGAAATAGGTAGGAGGAGGAGGAGGAGAAAGGAGGAGTAGAGAAGAAGATGAAAGGAGGAGACGAAAGGAGGAGGAGAAGGAAGAGGAGGAGGACAAGGAGAAGACGAAAGGAGGAGCTGGAGGAGAGAAGAAGACGAATAGAGGAGGAGGAAGGAGGAGGAGAGAAGTAAGTCCATCAAGAGTGCTTCGCGCCTTTCCAGGAGTCATGTTACCAGGCTGAAGAAGATGAGAGGAGGAGGAGGAGGAGGAGGAGAGAAGGACAAGACGAAAGGAGGAGGACGAGAGAAGAAAAAGAAGAGGGCAGGAGGAGGTTAGGACCTGCTGGATGTCGATGGCGATGACGGAAAAAAAAAGAAAAAATAGAGGATGACGAAGAGAGAGAGAGAGAGAGAGAGAGAGAGAGAGAGAGAGAGAGAGAGAGAGAGAGAGAGAGAGAGAGAGAGAGAGAGAGAGAGAGAGNAGAGAGAGAGAGAGAGAGAGAGAGAGAGAGAGAGAGAGAGAGAGAGAGAGAGAGAGAGAGAGAGAGAGAGAGAGAGAGAGGAAGCCCGCCCGTCAGTGCGTCAACTGGCGGCGGGATTTCACTGCAACTCGCCTATGCCGGCACGTGGCAGCTGTCAGCTTCCTTTTGCCGCGTGGCACTTCACGTAGTAAAGGAAACACATGAAATCGGGAGGAGGAGGAGAAAGGAGGAGGAGTGAAGAAGAAGAAAGGAGGAGGAGGAGAGAAGGAGACTAAAGGAGGAGGAGGAAGAGGAGGAGAGAAGAAGACGACAGGAGGAGCTGGAGGAGAGAAGAAGACGAATGGAGGAGGAGGAGGAGACGAGAGGAGGAAGAGGAGGAGAAGAAGACAGGAGGAGGAGGAGGAGGAGGAGGAGGAGGAGGAGGAGGAGGAGGACCTGCCGGCAGTGTCAGGCGATGAGGGAAAAAAAAGCGGACGATGGAGGACGTGGAGGAGGAGGAGAGAAGGAGAACACGAAAGCGGAGTACGAGGAGGAGAGAAGAAAAAGAGGAGAGGAGGAGGAGGAGGAGAGAAGGACAAGACTAAAGGAGGAGGAAAGAAGACAAAGAAGAGGAGAGGAGGGGGAGGAGGACCCGCTGGATTTCGATGGCGATGACCGAAAAAAAAAAACAAAAAAAAAGGATAACAAAGAAGGAGGAGGAGGAGAAGAGAAGAAGACAGGAGGAGGAAGAGGAGGAGGAGGAGAAGAAGAGGAGGAAAGGAGGAGGAGGAGAGGAGAAGAAGAAGACAAAAGGAGGAGGAGGGGAAGAAGAAGAAGAAGAGGAAGCAAGTGAAGGCGGCTTAACCCCGATGGCGCTAGCAGCTTCACGGGCAGCGACGACATGGATTCGTTCTTGACGGGGCAGCTCAACTGGGAGCGACGATGGCAGCGACGATGGCAGCTCGACGATGAGGAGCAGCGACGACGGCGGGCTTGGAGACGGAAGCTACGACGGGCGGGCTTCGTGACGGCAGCTTCGCAGTGGAGGATATCACGTTCGAATTCGAACGCGGCGCGGTAGGCCAGCATGGGGGGAAACGAGGTCGTTTCTTGCGGCTGATCGCAGCAGCCGGTTTTTGCAGGTCGGGTGCTGAGATCAGTCGCCGAAGAACCCCTTCCCCCGGCCTCACTTGGGCCTGAGTTCGAAACAAAGTGTTCACGGGGGGCCGGGGATGTTCCGACTGGGCGAAAAAGGCCTTCCCCCCCCCCCCGTGTGAAATTGCACTGGGCCCGCCCGGCGCCAAACCGGGGGACCCAACGAGCCGGGCCGCCCGGGAACCCTGCCGGACGAAGGCTGGGCCACCGGGCGGCCCGGATTTTAACACAGGAAATCAGGACAGAACCTCAACAGACCCCAGGATCCCCAGTGGTTGTAAATCAGGATGAGTCAGGATGACGGCAGTTGCAGGTAGAGGTCCAAGCCACTGACTGCCAACAAGTGATAGCTACCCCCGTACAGCCACACAACGGCATGCACCAACCACTTCCCAACCCTTCCCCCGCCAATGTGGCCACACAAGGGCGCACACCAACCACTTCCTGACCCATCCCCCGTGCGCTGCCGCCGCACAAGGGTGCGCGGTAACCAGTTCCCAGCCCGATGGGCAAGGAAAGTGTGGCAGTCCCTCAAAGTGGAATGGCTTTGACAGCTCATTGATCATTTGCCTAATCGTGTGTCTATCATTCATTCCCCGCACCCGCCCCCCCACCACACCACAAGGTCCACTTTTGAAAAGGATACCCTTGAAGAACGGGGAGAGAGAAGAGAGGATTCCATGTCCACACACCCTAGGCGCAAAACTCTGTAGGGTAGGGGTGGGTTTGGATCCCTCAGAAGTCAGGTAAAACAACCAATGAAACTTATGCACATCATGGTCGGCAATACAGCTCCATAAGCCCCATAGTCATTGAAAGAGAGCTTCCACAAGGAATTCGCATTAGCTATTTAGGCCGGAACAATGGCGCAGAGATTGCAAAGACTGAACGTACAAAATCTGGTCGAAGGTTATGCTCAGGAACACATCTACTCCTTACGGTGTTCAAAGAAAAAGTAAAAAAGAAAAACACAGACGTTGTAGACTGTAGTAAATGTACTCCTCATTTATAAACTCTGATCTGTGAGCCGCATTCTCGGAGGTACCATCTTCTTCCCTCAAAAACAGAAAACAGCCT